AACGTAACGTAACGTAACGTAACGTAACGTAACTAACGAACGTAACGTACGTACGAACGAGACGAGAGAGAGAGAGAGAGAGAGAGAGNNNAGAGAGAGAGAGAGGGGGGGGAGAAAAGATAACCAAAATACAATTTTCCATAATTAACAGGAAAAGAAGAAAGAATAGCCAGTGGTACCATCGCTATAGAATGATCTCCTCCTGTACACGCACATTGAGGGTCTTATTGGGGAGCACAATACAGTTTTTGACCACCACTTCATCTTCAACAGTAACAGCCTCCCCTGCATTGGGAAACACCATCACCTAGAAGCATCAGCTTTTGCTCTTTTTTTTTTTTTCTTTTGAATATTTTCTTTTCAAAATCCAAAATTTCCAAATCTTTGTTTCTCAAAGAAATAAAGATGACAAAAACACAACATACCAAGAATTGTGATCCCAAGTTTGGCTGTGTAGTCTCCACCACCCTAGAAAATTAAGTACAAAATAAACACCATGATACAACACAAACTAGTCATATCTCCAAGTTACAGTGCCAAAGAAAAGTACAATTGAAAGCTAGAAAGATACATTTTTTTCCCTAATCTAAGATGCATTTTCCAAAGATGCACCATGTTGATGCATAGAAAGTACTCTGCTTCTATGTAGCTTTTGCCTTGTCGTATTGTTTGCTTCAGTTTACTGTTTTGTCATTGCATTTTTGAGTTAAGAGTGTTTTTTTCTAATTAAGTTCTGTGTTTAGGTGCAATAAATGTCGAACTAGTTACACCACTTGCCTCAACACGGGACCATCGGCCAATGGATGACTTCCACCCCACAATAGAATGTATGACGAGTGCATGTTCCTAGAAGAAGCACAAAACAATGAGGTGGTTTACTGCCTTTGATTAAAAAGAAAACAAATAAATATAAGACCGTTTGCACTTTTTTTCTCATAGAAGCCAACCAAACCCTCACCTTGACCTCAACATCATCTAGAATGATGCAAGAAATGAGCCTCACCCCTGCACCAATTCGGGCATTCGCCGAAATTGAGACATTGGGACCAATCTGCACCATCAAATATTCACCACCAATTTGAACAACAAGAGAACAATAGGATGCAATGCACCATACAAACAGAGGAAAGTCTACCAGGGTAAAATGAATTATGGTCTATGATAACTCAAAGACTGCAACTACCATCCACAACCAATGACAGATGTTTGGAGACAACTTAGAAAAGGAATCAAAACAGGTACATTTAATCTCCAATCACTGGTCATGGTAGTGGATGTAGCGTTAAGAGTGCCATATACCACATTCCATTGGGCTAGAGTATAGTTTCCAGTCCTTGAGAGGAAAGATCAAGCAAAACACACTTACCTTGGCCAGTGGATGCACTTTTGCTGAGGGATGAATATAAACATCACCAATAATTGTGGCACTCTTAGTGCCATCCCCACTTGCAAGAAGGTGTGGATAAGTGTAACGGAATTGGGAGAGATACAGAGCAGAGCATCGCAGGGACATTCTAAAAGAAAAGAATTATGACATTCAGTCAGACAAAATTTTGAAGCTTCTGAAAAGTACAGGACAAAAAAATGAAAGGACTTGAAACAAATTTATCAACCCTGGAGTCTTGATCTGCTCCCAAAAGTCTAGGGTCTCGTATGTATATAACTGCTTCTTTCCAGCAAGAGGAGACAGAATATCCTGATCCAGTCTAACAAAATCTGTGGGCAAGGTCCTGTTAAGGTCCAAAATTTCAGATTATAAGCGGTGACATTACATAGTAGATCTGCTTTTCTATTACAAGTACATTACTTTGAAGCTCTCAAAGTTTGATTCCCCAGAATATAATACTAAAACACAATACAAAATTGTTAATAGATAAATTTGATAAAACAAATATTAAATAGTTACTTTCTATTGAAGTTTTCTTTTTTCCAGGGTCAAAAGTTTACAGGCAAATAGAAAAGTCCACAGGTGAGAAGACACCTGTATTCCTTCTGTACTACAACTTCCAGTGATGCATACACTATACCTGTAAAGTAGACATGCTTCAAACTAAAAAGCCATTGGATCTAATGCATTTTAACTCGAATTGGGATGCTAAACAAAAGCGCCAGTGCATACTTCAACCAAGTCCGCCTTCCCTCACTATCAAATATTCGTTGTTTGGCGGTAATCTTCTCTCAGCCACTTGAATTCTTACCACACTAAATTGGTAGGTTCAAGTGCTTGAGAGGAGCTCATTCCAAAAAAAGTGAAGTTGTTCTGGGTCCTAGGCAGAAAAACATAGTAGCCAATTCTCCACGGGCTTTCATCACTGGATCAATTAGAATTTCCTGGAGGCATGTTTTCAGGGAAGCTAAGACTGCTGCTGACACCTTAGCAAGGGATGGTGCAAGCCTAAATCCTTCAGATACTTATAAGTCTTTTTTCCTCCCTTCTAATTGTGTCACTGTAGAGCCGTTTTTGAGTTTTCTTTTTACCCATTTTGGGGTTTGTCAGGGGCACCTGCTAAGCAGGCATGCCTGCGCTTGTATACGTGTTTATATGCACATTCTTTACTCTGCATCTTCTTACTTTATCAATACAATTGTGAACATTATCTAAAAAAAAAAAAACATAGTTACCGATAGGCATATGTCTGCAATCTACATAAGTAGGGCTTCATAGTTATCACATGAAGAACATTCCTATTCATATGCAAGATAGTCCTTTAGACCATAAAATTGGCTTAAATTCATTCAACATACATGATTGATTCTCCTAAAATGCATTTGCTAGAATAATTCTTTAACCCAATATACTTTCCCTCATCAAAATTTTGTTTTTTCAATTGCAGTGTTTTCTCCAATGACCTCGAATTACACTCTTTGACATCTTCGTTGTAGTTGCAAGAAAGAACCACTCATTTCATTTGCCAAGTGTTCAATCAGGCAACATTAGTAATAGGAAAACTGACATAAGCAAGGAAACTGCATTCAACAGTGACTATTTATGCTCTTTGTGCCATCTGTCACCAATCTATAGTAGGTGAAATAACACAAGCATAGAGACCTAAAACTATACTAGAAACTCGTAAGATACTTGCAAATATAAAATATAAACATAAAACAATTATAAGAAATTTAGTAAAAAATAAATATGAAGTTATGCATTATGATATGCTATTCAATATGTCCAGCACATACTTATGCACAACATAAGCTATGATATTGACATATCATAGAGTTGGACCGTAAACTTGCATACGTATCTGTCACTGATTCAAAGAAATACTGAGTTGCAACCCCTCATATCCACGGCTCCATCCATATCAGCATATTTGCATCTTATATAGAGATAATGTATGAATAACTAAGTTGCAGGTAGAAAGATGGCACCTCACTCTAGATGTTCATGCTGTTGTATGTAGAAATTGTCTAATTCAAAGAAATTGTCTAATTCAAGTTATTCAAGCCTTTTAACTCAGTAGAATTTTAAAACGAAAAGTTGTTCATGTCCTTCACAAGTTTAAGTTCATTCAACTTTGTAACTGTCACATTTTCATATACACTTTTTCGTCAGTTAGGCATGAGCAACCTAAAACGCGTAGGTAAATGCAACAATGACAATCACAAAATTTAATTGAGCTAAAACAAGACAAAAACTAGACATATATTTGATCAAATGATAGGCATAAACAGCAGCAAGATCACAATCATCTATCTATATCTCACCAAGACAATTTATGTTTTGCAACTTTCATATTCAATATAGCCTTAATGTCGATTAGACACTAATAATTGATCCTGATCTGATATCAACTGGTGACACTTTTGAATGAAAGCTTGCCCCACCCATATTGCCATCACAGGAAGCACACTCCTCAAAAATAAAGGACATTGGACACAAGGGGAGGGCTTTCTCGTTTGATTATACGGTAATCCTGTTTCAACTCACCAAATCTACTTTCTAACCTCGCAACATGCCATCATACAAATAAAATAGATAATCATTTGATCAAGTATCAGTTTCTCATTTTCCATGTTCAGCATAGTTTATTGGGAAAATATCTTTGTACCCCCTATTTTTATGTTTCATAACTCAATGTTTCAAAATATATCTTGGGGTATAAAAATCCCAAGTTTTATATCTTCTAACCCCCTAAACTAAATCTTCTCACTTTAATCCTATTTTTTAGCCCAAACAAATCCGAGAAAGACATCTTTTTCTAAACCCTTTCTCTCATGCTCTCTCTCTTCCTGTCTTTCCCCAAACCCCCCTCTCTCTCCCCAATTGGGTTGGGCATTTCTCTCTCTAAAAAATGGCCCACCCCATTAACCTGGTTTGATCCCAAAAATAAGAGGCTCTATTTCTAGAAAAATAAAGGTGAAAATCATGGAGTGGGAGCCCAAAGACCGAGCATATCCTTTAATAGTGGATTCTGGCCAGGTAACCAATAGATCAGTAAGTGATGAGAGAGATATAATGCAGAGTTTGGAGGGGAGGATAAAGCTTTTGGCTCCCCGAGCGGAGGAGGTTGGGGAAATGGAGAGGCCATTACCAGAGGAGGCCATTGCCAGTTTCTGCAAGCTCAAGAAGGTGTTCATGCTGGCGAAGAAGTTGTTGAGGATGGGAGCAAGATTTATCTGGTAAGGGTTCTAATGGTTGTGAATAGCAATGTTGAGAACATGGTCTCTCTCTTCGAAGCAGCGTTGAGAACATGATCTCTCTCCCCCTCTCTCTTATGTTGTTTATGAGAGGATTTTGGGTATAGTAGAAGTTTGGGTCGAACTGTGCATGGTGTGGGAATGAAGAGAGACCATTAAACTGATTTATAAAGAGTTTTAACTTTTTATAGGAACTTCACATTTGGCAAGATGGAGAATTAGCTGTTTAATAGGAGTAACAACAGAAAATCTGAGTCTTTCACATTATGCTGGAAATGATATGGGAAACAACAGAGCCTATTCACCAGCACAGAGAGAGAGAGAATTGCCATCTCTTTTCCTGGCATGCTGTGAATTTGGATTGTTCTTTCTATAAGAATATTTAAATTCTATGAATTAATGGAAAAGCAAAGAAAATGAAATTGAAATTATCCTTGAGTTTTGGGGAAACACAGTAGAGAGAGAGGGGTTTGGGGAAACACAGAGGGGAGAGAGAGCGTGAGAGACACGGGTAAGGAAGAGAGAGAAGGGGTTTGGGGAGTCACAAGGGAGAGAGAAAAGAGAGAGTGGATGGGTTTAAAAAGAGTTGGCTTTCTAATATTTGTTTGGGCTAAAACACTAGGATTAAAGTGGGTAAAGTTAATTCGGGGCTAGAAGATATAAAACTTAGGATTTCTATGGCCCAAGATATGCTTTGAAACCTTGGGTGTAATAAGATATGAAACCTACAAATGGGGGTACGGAGATATTTTCCCTAGTTTATTTGCTTAAATTATTTTTCCTACAATGTGTATTGTTGAATTGACAACCACTGAATGTGAATGGTTTTTCTTTGCAACTATGACAAAAATACCAAATGAGGGTAATACAAGGTCAGGTCAATTGAATAACAGATCTTTGATAGCTGGAAGTATATTGATTCAAGTCTTAACCCCACAGCAAAAAACTATTCTAGCAAATGCATCTTTGAAGCAAAGCAATCTACGTCACCACGAACTTTTATTTAAGGAGATGCTCTTGCTTTGACTATGTGGTTCCATAGTTTAAGAGCAGAATCACTCATGTAACCGATCCCAATATCACAGTCTAAAGAATTAACTTGAACATGAAATGCATTCAACCTCCTATAAAGCGCATGACAATTTCTAATATAGATTAAACACAGTCATAAAAAGTAATTTAAAAGAATGAAGCTTAACTGCAAGAATCTCACAACCTTCATAAGGCCCAACCGTACAAAATCAGAGAGCAAGAGAGAAAAAAATGACATGGAACTTGCATGAGTAGCTGAGAAATTTTTCATTCAACAATAGTCATGAACTTAAGTTTCAAAATTTAAATCAGAACCTGTTGCAATTAATAAAGAAAATTGTAATCGAAATAAAATATCATACTTCGTTGCAGATTGGAGAGCCTCAAAACTGGATACACGTCGCATTGTAGCTGCAATGAACAAATTAAAGTCAGGCTTTCCATATTTAGAGTTTCTTGAGCGTAAAATTTAGAAGATTAGGCACCATAAAATAAAAAAGAAGCTTAATAAATTAAAATATAAATATATATTCTTAGAATTACCAGCTATTTAAAAGCTTAAAACCTTCATATTGGATAAAAATTGCCACCCAGCCAAGGTCCTATTTACCGGCTCCACTCCAAGAGGAATGAATACAGTAGGCTCATGTATAAGGAGATTTTTCCCAACAGACATCTCCCCCCTGCTCAAACTCATCCTTCAATCCAATCCAAGCATGAATAGAACTTCAAATAACAGAACAACATGTGGCGATGGAGGTTGTCTGGCATTCTCCTAACCATTTGTCTCCTGCTATCAAATCAACACCTCCAACCCCAACATATTCCATGAACCCCCACACTCATTCACTACCTTAGCTACTGCCTCTAAAACTTCTTTTCGTTGACCCACTACCCATTCCCTCTCTCTAACATGCAAGAAACTTGTCATTTTAATACCGCATCACCCCGAAAACCACATTGTCTTAACAATCCAATGTCTGAGTACCATTGCAAACACACTAGGCTAATCACCAGTTGCACTGAACACAAATGCGCTCATACTTTCATGGAAATTGACATCCATGATTTATGGTGCACAAGAGAAACGGAGACAATGGAAAGAGGTACTATTCGGTGCTTTGCTCCAAGTTTTTTGCAAGCTTATGGACTCACTTGAGACAATTGCATGCTACTAAGAAAGGATGAACTCCAAAAACCTCATAACAATGAAACAGTCAACTGAAACAGCATGAGAATATAACAATGGGGTAAGCTTCGTCAAGAGGGATAAGAGGTGTAGGTCGAGAGCCCCAATGGGAACGATTACAGAGGAAGGGGATTCATATAACACAGGTAAAACTTACTTCAAGATGCCACATGTTATGAGAAGATCAACCAAGAGGTCAACAGCATCAGAAAGGATGGGGCCCAGGTGAAATGCTAGAAAATGGCACAAGAATGCAGAACGTAAACAATACAGAACAAGGAAGACGAAATTCAAAGGGAAGCTCAAGAAGATGCAAGCAAAAATAGGGTGCCAACAAGCACCAACACGGGTAACGAAATGGAATTGCAATTGGTTGTGAGGAAGAAAGCAACCATTAAGTCAGAGGAATGCACCTCCAACAAGAAACCAAATGAGGGGCATATCACATTTAATTTATGGCAAACTAATTAAAACCCTGCTTTAGCTGTTTTCCATGAAGGAAATGTGAAAGGGCCTGTGAGGACAGAGATGAGGGACGACATCAAGAGATTCATTAAAGATCATATTCAGAAGAACCTGCTTCGTTTGCCATGGGGAAAGTCCATTGAGATTGTTTCTGGCATAGCTAATGATTCCTAGAATGCAAGTGTATGTAACACGTGTTTGTGTGCACACAGACATGTGTATATAGGATGTGCCTGCATTCTCATAATAACCATATCAAATCAATAAGTGAAGCACATTAGTCTCCACAACTTTCACGAAAGTAGTATGAAATTAAGAATGTTTTTTCAGTGTTTGGATCAACTAAATGAATTCGAAGTTCATAGAGTGAACAAGGAAAAAGAAGGGAAAAAATCTTCTGTAAATAATCAAGAAATGCCATTATCTGTAACTATTTTTCTAAAATAGATAAAAAATATAAGGACATAGCTGTTTACCAACCTCTATCTTTCCGTTCATTGGAAACACCCTGAATGGCAGAAAAAATATCAGGAGTGAATATGTATACCCCACAGTTTATTCGATCACTGACCTGCATAAAACATCATACAGACCACAAATGTGTTGTTTACACATCTTAGAATTACCTATCCTTATCAACTCTTAAATGTCCTTGTACACATTTTAGGCTATAGATATTCCAACAATGGGAGGAAAAAATTAGAAAAACATATATATTTGGTACGTACAAAAGTTTCTGGTTTCTCAGCATAATGCAACAACTCATTGGTGACTGGATCTGCCACTAACTCACCAAACTGGTTTGCTGATTCAGCAGACACCTGTATAAAGTCATCAAGGCACCCAAATTAGCAGGCAAAAATCCATGACATGATGGCAGAACAAAAAAATCTAATGGGCAAAAAGTATACCAACATGAATCAAGGATCTGTTGGAACTGCCTCTAAAGTAGCTAAACAAAATAGAGCAGGGCAATAATGCGAATAATTTTCAACAAGTTATGCAACATCTAAATGTCAGGGCATTCCAAATTAGCATTTCAAGCAATATCCCAAAAAAGGAATCATATAATATTTATCAAACGCACTCGACCAACATGTGATACGTATTTCACAGCTTGATGCACCAAAAGCATAAACTAGTCAAAAGCTAATCATGTCAGAAAAAAATAAATTGCACCATCTCTTGACCAATTCAGTGGTAGATGTAATCAAAAAAAGAATCCATAGATGGAAGATACAAAAGCAAGTATAAAGTAAATCATATGCATCAATAATCAAAAGAAGGGGTCAGGCATTTAGCTCCTCAGAATCTCCAGTGGCAAGAAAAAAAGAAGAGAGAAGGGAATGGAAAGCAATTCCTAAATATTCAGTTTTTTGAGGCTCCTCTGCACACAACAAAATGAATTCATTATTACCACTGGCCCACCTTGCTAACTAAAATTGTTCCCATCCCACCATATCTTTTATGGGCCTCTGCAATCAAAAAAGATTAAGAGGCAGTAAGTCACAAAGGAACATGTTAATGTTGGGGACTTAAAATAGAAACCATGGAACTGCCAATAAGAAACTTGAACGAAAGCTTTTTCTTTCGGGTTCGGTGAGAACTTTACCAAGCAAGTCTGGAAGAGGAAAACTGCAACAAACATCACAATTCAGCATAACGATATTTGACTGCCACAAAAAAAAAAAAGGGTTTGAGTGAAAGCTCAGCCAGAATAGGGAAGAAGAATGGAACACTAAGGCCGTTATTTGACTGGTAAAAAAAGAAAACAAAGGTTTGAGTGAAGGATTGAGCAAAGCATAGGAAGCTATTTGTGAAACACATAGGACAATAGGATCCAAAAATGCAGAAAAAAAAATTACACAACATGCATAAATATATTTATAAATGTTTATTGTTTTGTGTGTATGTTTGTAGATAGATCGATAGAGATAGAGAAGAGGGAGCAAAAAGGTAACCGGATTGTCTTCCATGATGAAATCTCTAAAGTTGTACAGGCCACCAGCGGACCCATGTGGTTTGTCTTCTCTTAAATATCTGCATAAATTTGAATCACTGTGAATAACTTTTACTAAAGAACCACGGTATGATAACAAATGCCCAAGACAACTGTAAAACTTGAAGAGCTCAGAGAATATGACAAAGAGCTGACCTGACTGGAACTTTAAGTTCATTTGAAATTGATGAAACATAGAGAAGAAATTCACGCTCCTCATAGAAACCAATAAGATAAATTTGCACCAAATGTGGTATCTGCAAATTTACAAGATCAGACAGTCATATATAGCAAGAAAAACAAATTGACTATAGCAATAAAGCAATAAACGTTCATCCATAATGTAAAATTGGAAACAAGAAATTTTATGAAAAGGAAAGAGATAAGCATACCCTTTTGCAGGCTGAAATAGGGTGGTGTACCATTGGCTGCCCAGCCAAGGGAAAGAGTGGCTTTGGTATGTTCAAAGATAGGGGTCGAAAACGAGTGCCTGCAAAGAACACCAGAGGACATCAAATCAAGAAATCCATATGAAAAAAAAAAACACAGTTCAATGGAACTAATTAAAAAATAAGGGAAAAGAAAAGAAAAACTTAACTACATTGTAGTCAGAACTAATATTGAACTGAAAATCACAGATCTTTGAAATAGAGTCACCAGGGAATCTCCAAATACAAACAAAATACATTTGATCAACAATGTATGGTTCAAGCAACTCCGAATTCAAATTAGAACCATGTAATCAGAGAAATGCTAAAAATGAACAGCAATAAAGTGACTTTCCTCACCTTTTGTAGGCCCTCCAACCAAAATAACCGCCACAACTCGCTCCTGTGTACTCCCCATTATCACAAGAAGTGAAAACACAGTAAAAAAACCCCTAATTAAACCCCAATTCCCGAATCATTCTTCTCCCCAAAACCAATTCAGTGAAACCCACAAACCCCAATTTCCCACGAAATCTCTGCTCAACTCTTCTCCCTCGCGACAAACCCAATTCAGTAAAACCCCGGCCGAGTCACACCACAAAAAACCCTAGTTCCGCACAAATATCCGCACCAGTCTTCTCTCCTAACCAAAATTCCAGACTCCACTCAGTGCAGACATACTGAATCCAAAACCGATGACATATAACCCATTAAAGCATCGATCAGAAGCAGGAACAACACAACAATAAATGCAACACATGAAATACCGATTTAACAGAGATTAGAGCTCTAATGGAAAATAAATTATTGGAGTAATTTACAATTTAAAAATAATAATAAATGGAATAAAACAGTAATTACCTGAAAATTCATACGAGAGAGAGAGAGAGGGACGGGGGTGAGGTGATAAGTAGTAACGCGGGGACATGTCACGTGGAGCTCTGACTCGCATTTAGAGTGCAGGAAAAATGATAATAACTGCCCCTCTCTTCTTAGAAAATGACAAGAGCAGGACTTGGAGATAGGTGGTATAAATTCCATATTCCCGAGGGAGCATTCGCCACTTGCATTGTATTCTACGAAACTATTTACGTCTTATTACATGGAAAAAGTTCATAACCTCATAATTTTGACTCGAAGTGGTTGCTTCCGTGACCAAATATCTTCAAATTGATCATCTCGGCATCGTCATGCATAGTCAAGGGATTTCAAGTTTTGTAAATACTATACATTGTAACTTATTTTTGGACTGTCAATTTTCAAGATTTTTATAAATCTGTGTCAATCTACATTATTTTTAAAGCTTTAAATTTTATAATGGAAAAATTTTATATATATGTGAAATGAAAAATATGTTGTCTATTTAATCAATATGAAAGGTGAATATTGTATTCAGTATATATGAGAAAGGTAGGTACAATATCTTATATTTTATGGTAAGTCTGGATAGAGTTTAGGTGTATGTGATTTGTTTCTGTTTTGGTCATCTGTATTTGTCTAGTGACAACAAGTTTGTATATTCATATTGATTTAATGGGGACAAGGAGTCTCTTTAGAAAAATCTGAAACTTCTTCATATGGTATCAATGCCATATTCTTTACCGTGTCCATTCCTGTAAGATCGAGTCTATTAAACTGTTATTTTTCGATCCTATATTATCTGATGGAGCCATGAGACCGTCAGATCTTCTTGATCGTTTGTGTGCCCTCTGATATTGTCTTTCTCTCTTTAAAATATGATGTTGTCTTTCTGTTTACCTGTTTTGATGTTGTGGCCTGCAAGGCCTTCTTCGTCTTCTCTAATTCATGCCTTAGTGAGGCATGAGTTGTAGAGAGAGAGGGTGTAAGATTGTTGGGAGAGAGTAAACGTTATTTTTCGTATGTTGTTTGTGTTAATAAATTAGAATTTATATGGTGCTGCAAGCCTCACTCTACCATACCATAGCATAGGAGAGATGATGGCATTAAAGGGGAAATAGTCTCTCTTATGATGAAAACCTGACGAGACTATGGCCCAAAGGAGGAAGGCAGTATTCAAAGTCTGACTAACAAATTTGCCTGACTGAACAGGCAACTGCTTGTGCCCAATGCCTTAACCTCGTCTTCACATACTGAAGGTTGTCCCCATGAGTGAATATGTTCCATGATTCGGATGAATTGGGGCTCCCAAACGATGAAGAATGGCCATCGAAGCTGCTTGGACTAGATGCATCCTGCATCTATGCAGTTGTCATCGTCATCTTCGAGTTAGATAGCTACATGTTCATAGCATGGTAGAGATCAAGGGTAGGCAAATTATTGTAGAGAGTGCAGTCCTCATGTTCATGGTCGAACAAAAAACCCAACTCGATGCACCCTTTCAACTTGTCGAGGTCCCCATCCGTCAAAATTGATCAAAAAAAAAAATCTAAAATTACCCAAATTTGAAGTCAAATTGATCCTCTGAAAATCTACAACCAACCCTCTATCTCATGAAAAAAAAAAAGCTCTGAAACACCCTAAAAATCTGTCAAATATGAACCACTCTGAAAACCACTTATGAAAACCATCATTGAAAAACCACCTTTGAAACCCGTTGTCTTTGTAATCTCTAGAACTCCGATCTAAAGCTCCTCCTCTGCATCTACAACCACCTCTGAAAATGGCATCTAAAAACGGCCGTTCTGCACCATCTGTAAATAGTCACCGAGTCGTGTTTCGACTCTCTGATTTATCTTTCTGTCGAGTCGCGTTTTGACTCTCTGATTTGTGATCGAGTTTATTGTTCTGTTACTCGATTATGTCAAATCTGGTTTGCAAGCTGTTGATCCATACCGATTTCTGTTGGCTCTTTCAAGTGTCATTCTGTTTTCTCGGTTGTCTCGACTGTTTTTTAATCTTTGACGAAGATTTTAAGTTTTTATTCATTGCTGAACTCTGATTTGCCGCTATGTTCTTGCCTTCTATTTTTAAGGCTTGTTGATCCGCTGTCGTTCCACCGTTGATTTCTGTGCTTGTTAATCAAACAATCTGAATATGTACATGAAGATCCAACTGCTTGTCTCGATAACTTAATGTTCAAACTCCAATTACTCTATCTTATAGTATCTTGAGTTTGAGGAGAAGTGTGAAAAGAAAGAATATATTATTAACATAGAAGGTGAATATTCTATTCAATATACATGAGAATGTACGATATCTTATATTTTATAGCAAGTTTGCGTAGAGTTTAGGTGTCTGTGATTTGTTTCTATTTTGGTCATCTGCATTTGTCTATTTAAAACAAGTTTGTATATTTATATTGATTTAATGGACACATGGAATTTTTTCAGAGAAACGTGAGACTTCTTCACAATATAGAGCTAAGACTTTAAACAATCAAATTGGAGCCTGCCTCAAAACTTTCATTAGAAGATGTTATTTTGATGCTCAAATATCCTCAAATTGATCATCTCAATACCAAGATGCATGGATATGACAAAACAAAATGGATTTCAAGTTTTGAAATTAGTTCAATTTGTGACTCATTTTTTGACCATCAATGTTCAAGATTTTCAAGTTTTCATAAAGATGCTTGATCAACACTATTTTTAAAGCTTTAAATTTTATAATTAAAAATAAAAAATATATGTTAAGTCTATCACAAAGATTTTCGGTACTAAAACCAAATTTCTCAAATATATTTAAAGGTACGTTTTACTTTGATTATTTAAACCCTCAGCTCTGCGAATTGTACCCTACTTTTCGTATCACATCCATCTGTCACTGTTTTTCTTGCTTTTATCCAAAAAAGTCATTGACTCAAGGGATTAACAACTATACAATGTGCTGCCGCCTCGGTATCACACCTATATACAAACCCCTTTTTTTAATCCTCTCGCTAAAACTATGTTCCCCATCTCTCTCTCTCCAGCTTTGAAAGTGGTCTCAATGACCGTCAGTGGATTCAAAGGCCATCTTATTTTTGTGTATATATGCACATCTACACAGACCAAAAACCCTCTTACCTGTATTCACAATATTGTGTTCCCCCTTTCTCCTCCTCTCTCTAGAATGGCTTTTTCTCTCTCTAGAATGGTCATAGTATTCCCCCTTTCTCCTCCTCTCTCTAGAATGGCTTTTTCTCTCTCTAGAATGGTCATAGTATTCCCCCTTTCTCCTCCTCTGTCTATAATGGCTTTTTCTCTCTCTAGAATGGTGGGGCCTCTAACGAATGGCCTGTCTCCTTGTATTCCTGTAGTTGATGATCTTTTCATCCATGAAGCGTTGAAATGTCATTCTCCCATGGGTGAGGTTTGTCTTAAGGTTCAACTTTATGTTATTGAAGTAAGGTGCACCTCAAAACTATATAAAAAATGTAGTTTAAGTGCTACAAAGCCTTGCGATAATAGAAAAATCTATTGTTGTCCCCAATTATAAATTTTAAAGTTTCAGAAATAGTGACAATCAAACATATCTATAAACAATTGAAAATCTTGAAAATTGACATTCCAGATAATATATTAGAAGTTGAACTATTTTTAGGACTTAGAAATACTATTTTTTTAGTGTCTATGAATCTCGAGGTTGAGATGATCGAGTTGAAGGTTTTCTAACAATTAAATAACCTTCTCTAATGAGCTTTTTAGGTGCACCTTACTTGTACAGTATAAAGTCACCTAATATAAACTTTTTCCTTCTTTTATTTCAGAGAAAGCCTCGAACAACAATGAGTGCCTCTTATCCTTAACCAACCGCGCAGCCACTCCCATCACCAAGTACGTTATGTGCGAGGGCTGGTAGAGAAAATGAGAGAGAGAGGGTAGTTAGAGAGGGGGGCAAGGGCAAGTAGAGATGACAAAGGCATGTAAAGAGAGACAAAGAGGGAACGGTCGTTTAATCTCAAATATTTTGACTTTTTAACTGGGGTAAAAGCAAGAAAAAATGGTGACAGGAGATAGGTGTGATACTAAAAGTATTGGGGAAAAAATGTCTACATATTTCATTTTCAGGGTATCCATAATTTTTCTTACTTATTTTGAGGGCGATCTAGATAATTTATTATACTATACATTATTTTTAGAGCTTGAAATCCTTAATATTTTTCACAATCATAATATTCAAACTGATATGATCGATGTAAAGCTTTCTCAATTAGTGAGTTGCAATTTCGCATGAGTTATGATGGTGGTAATGAGGCCCATGCAAAGCTTGATCATTTTCCAAAATACAACTTAAGAAAAACTATAAAAACCATATTTTTATTTTGAAATACACATAAATATTTTTCAAAACCAAAAATACTAATAAATTAATCTCCTTATTTATTTTGAGCGTGATAAATTTAGGTAGCATGTGCAAAGTTTGATAAACTGGCATTCATTATTCTGCAATTTATATGTCAGATATTATATTTTTTTGAAAGTAATTCAGTGAAATGCTCTGGCCCATTTAGAGAAGTAGTGACGTTTTTTAATTACAATATCTAATACTGGATGGTTAATTGAAATGAGGTAACAAGCATGTGTGGATTGTCATTAGAAGCCCTAACTCTATCCATAAGTTGTCTCAGGAAGGAAGAACTATAGAAAATATGTTAGATATGATATAAAATGAAAATAACAAGTGAAGAGTAACATTTATTTATGCTAAGTATGACAAATTTAGGTAGCACAAGCAAAAATTGTCGAAATGGCATTGATCATTCTATTCTTTCCAAGCCTTATACTATGGAAAGTTATACAATGAGACCATTTATCTTTAGTACAATGTGAGCACAATTAATCTTGATCATTGGATGTGAAATTAGATGGTTGTATTTATTCCATTGACTATGCACAAACTTCAAAAAAAAAAAATTTTGAACTTTGTGACACACCTAAGCTATCAGATTTACATCGGATGGTTATAAGTAATTGTGACCACCTTGTATCAAAGGTAAATGGTCTCATTGTATACAATCCCTAATATTATTTCTAAAATCATTCAGCGGACATTTTCCGGCCCATTTATGAAAAGAGTGAGATTTCAATTACAACATCTAATATGGAAAAATACACAAAGCGTCATTTACTTTTGACACAAGGAGGTCACAAATACTAATGTTCATAAGATTGAAACCAGGTGGTTGTGAAAGTGTCATTCATCAATCTTAAGTCCAAAAAAAAATTCTCAAACTTCTTGACATATTCCAAGCTATTTAATTTGACATCTAATGGTTAAGAGTAATTGTAACTTCCTTGTAACAATGATAAATAGTCTCATAATCCCATCTAATTTTAGATGGTTGGCTGAACAAAGTCTTGGGCATGTTTTGACCGTCATTATAAGCCGAAACACTATCCAAAAAGTAGTCTCAGGATGGGACAATACAGAAAGCATTTGAGAAATAGATAAAAATAAAATGAATTTTTAGGAAAATAGTAAGCTTACTTCATGTCGATTATGATAAATTTAGGCAGTGCATAGAGTGATGAAGCAGCATTGATCATTCTGCATATTCCACATTGCGATGTTATACTATTTTGAAAATGATTCTGAGACATTTTCTGGCCCATTCATGAAAATATGAGATTTCAATTATGATTTCTAATATCGGATGGCTTGGTTCAAAAAACGATTACGAGACATTTACTGGCCAATTTATGAAAATACTGAGATTTCAATTGCGATTTGGATTATTAGCCGAACAAAGTTTTGGGCATGTGCTGATCACTACCCTGACTCTACAACCCTCCTCCTTTAGCAGGGCTTGGGACCGGATCGGGACCAATTATGCAAGAGATATAAAATGAAATTTATAAGAAAATAGTATGCTTAATTCATGTCCAGTGTGCTAAACATAGGCACCAGCATGTTAACTCCCATTATAAGCTGCTATATTGTGTGAGTACCATGATTTAATGACCATCCAAACACAAGATTATCATTTCAACATCTAGCTTCCATGAAAAAAATGCAATGGGACTGAGCAATATGATAGATTTAGCCTTTTCAACCCATGCCTCACCTAAAAAAGATGCAATATTGACCTCCACTGTTTTTTAAGGCAAATGATCAAGCTTTGCATGGGTATTAGTATTAGACGTTTTCCCATGATTAGGCCAGTTCTTTTTGCTTTTCCTTTCTTTTTTGGGGGCGGCCTTTTGGGGGAGCGAAAAGGCCCTCCAAAGTAATGCCTCAACTTGAATCTTTGTTTGAAAAACATTTGAAGCATCAAAATCTCCATGATGGCTCTAAAATCAATTTTCAAAATGAATTTCCAACACTGACTATAAAATTTAAAACTAAAAAAATACTACAAATCTTGTGGATGGATGAACACTTATTTTGATAGGGCTGCAACCCTATCAAAAAAAATTTCCTTTTAAAATTCTGGTCACATTTTGAATTTTTAAATATTAGCAACCTTTTTAATTTGATAAAA